ATATATACTAAGTGACATATAAATCCGAACACCTAGTTTAACTGGTTTTATTTTAATAAAAGTTGGTGAATGTATTTATCTTACTGTAAATAACAAGTGAAAAAATTTTCAGACTTATCAGTTGGACGTTCCGGTTTTTATACTGCTTTTTTTTAATTCACTAACGCTCTAAAAATGAATATTTCAGCCGCAGTAAAGAATCAACGTTGGCAGATTTTGGTTCTTGACATCCTTTACGATCGGTTACGATGCCTAGAGTACGGAGACCTGTACGATTTCGTCAACTTAGTGAGTTTGATAGGGGCCGTATAGTGGGACTTCGGGAAGCTGGACTTTCTTTTCGGGCAATTGCAGTTAGAGTGCAAAGAAGTGTAGACACTGTGGTTAGGTGTTGTCAGGCATGGCTTCGAGAAGGCCGTACGCAAAGAGCAAGGGGCACTGGACGCCGCCGTAGAACAACAGACCGTGAAGATCGCCGCCTAAGATTATTGGCCTTAAGGGACCGTTTCTCCACTACCAGGTCCATTGCAAATGAATGGTTTGCAGAACACGGAAGACCTATTGGCATGCGAAGTGTTTACCGTCGAATGAGAAGTTTTGGCTTGTTTTCATACCGGCCACACTGGGTCCTCCCTTTAACTCGAGAACACCGACGTAATTGCCTTGAGTGGTGCAGACAACGGTCACTCTGGGATCAGGAATGGAACAGTATTGTCTTTAGTGACGAGTCTCGATTTTGTTCAGGCATGCACGATGGTCGTGTCAGGGTTAGAAGGCGACGTGGTGAAAGGAGGAATCCACAGTTTTTTGTTGAAAGATATGTTCATCACACTGTTGGAGTTATGGTGCTATAGCTTATGGTTCCAGGTCACCTTTAATCTTCATCAGAGGTAACATGAACGCGCAGCGTTATATCCACGAAGTTCTAGAACCCCATCTTTTACCCTATCTTGACACCCTGGCAGATCCAACTTTCCAACAAGATAATGCCCGACCACATGTTGCAAGAGTCACAATAGACCTCTTTCAACATAATGATGTCACATTGTTACCATGGTCACCAAGATCTCCCGACTTATCCCCAATTGAGCACGTGTGGGATATGATGAGTAGGAGATTGCTCAATTTGCAACGTCCTCCTCAGACTCTAGAAGCACTTCGAGAGGAGTTGGTGGTTGCCTGGAATGAAATACCACAGGAGGACATTGACCACCTGATCAGAAGCATGCCTAGGTGCGTTGGAGAATGCGTAGCACATCAGGGTGCATCCACACATTATTAAAGGTCAAAGGGCTTTAAAGCAGTGCAATCATTTTGAAATTTTTATCATTTACTTATTATGCTTCATTAAGTACTTATACAAAATTTTATTAAAATAAAACCATTTAAACTGGGTGTTCGGATTTATGTCACTTAGTATACATATGAATGAAATAAAATAAAATTGTTACTCATTACACATGAAAACGTGGGAAAAAAGACGGAGCTCATTTTGTAAAATTTGTTTATATCTTCAAGGTCAAATTAAATATACAGCTGGTTACTTCAGATACAAGATACTCAATTTAAGATGTTGAAACACTTGCATGGTGTGTGTGGTTAAATACTTCACTTCCCATATCATGACTCAGCTAAGAACAAAAATTGTTTTTTATCTAGCTTTCTACAATATTAAATATACCTAGATATTCTATTTTTGATAAATACAATGGCGATTTCTTTACCACATGTGTTATAATATCCATTTTCTGTTGAGTCACAATGGCTATGGACTCTTTTAATTTTAATAACTCAAGAAACAGTGGTTCTTTGTCGGAGAAACAGTAAGTACCTATTTTCGCAGCGTGACTCAACTAAGTTCGTCCAACGTACACTTTGCAGGAACACTGCGGTACTTCACAGCATCTCGTCGCAAAATGAGAGTACAACCGTATAAAAAATGTGGTATAATAATAGGCCAGACCAAACCAGAGAACTGACAACGTACCTTATTTATTAAAAGCGGATTTCTCAAGGATACCGACTCGGCTCGACTTGGGTTTCCCAAAAGCATACGTAATCACCTACCTTACGACAAACCCAGCAAGGAAGAATGCTGGGAGATACTTCGTGACAGCGGCGTACAAACTAGTACCAGTGGCGTTCATTAAAATAGATGATAGTGTGTTGTACATTACAAGGTACTGTACTGAGAACCGGTTTCACAGAGGCCCTATCTCTGAAGAACCTCCTGAATGACAGAATGCCTACTACCGATATTCAAGATGCAGTATTTATACCTGAAATCCTGGATTTTCAGCCTCTCCAAAAAATACTTAAAAATGATCTCTAAAACGATATTTTTTTTGTTTTTTTTGTACTTAGTATTGTCATTCTTTTAATAATATTTCACCAACTAATACTAGCAGGTACTATTAAATATCAGAATACCCGGAAACTGGGCAGCCGCCCATTTGCTTGGAAAAAAAGGTTCTAAGAAAAATTTCAAGATATCAAAAAAGCAATATATCGTTGACCTCAGATATGACCTAGATCTCTGAGGTGAATTCAAACAGCAACCGCCATTTTTGAAAACAGATTTGTATCGAGCACGAGATTCTGTCTCAGATTTCATTTTCATGAGGTCAAGAGGTCACGAAAAGTGTCAGCGTTTCAATTAGGCAATTTATCGATGACCTGAGATATGACCTCAGAGGTCATTTGGACGTCAACTTTGTAAATTCAAGTAGAAACCACCATTTTTGAAAATAAATTCGTGGTGGTTGTGATTTGAATTCAGAAAGCTGACCTCCAAGTGAACTCTGAGCTCATTGTCTAGGTTTTATTTGAAGTGATAGACAAATTGCTTTTAAGATATCTCAAAACTCTTCTTGAAACCTTTTTTCCAAACAAATGCATAGCTACCATGCTTTTGGGGTGTTTGGGTATCTAATAGATAAAATAATGGCAACACGCTTGCAAGAGGTTAATGATCAAGATTTTGAAAGAACGACCATCTCGACGGCTATCACTATCGGTACATTCGAGGCAACATCATAAAAACATGACAATAAAATTATCCACAAAACACCATAACAACTGTGCTTGAAAAGGCCCCATTAGAATCACGGAAAATACGTCAAAAACATTAGAGTCCGCCGGTTTTTCTAGCAGTAAAAAAATCAGGAATTATCATGATCTAACGCAACAGTAATTAACACATACCTATTGCAATCGGCACAAATTAATTTTAATCAGTCATAAAACGATCTACAAGATAACGCCAACGCAATGATCGTAAAATTTATTTGCGGCTTTTTAATTTTCAATTCATAAATTTCCCCGCACACCTCAACGCGTAGACGGATTTGAATTACAATGTATCTGTACAGCTAGATATGTACTATTTGCAGTGGCGGCTAACACGGATTTGAAAATACTCCACATATCCCAATTAATGGTTTAAATTTAAATGTACTACCGCAGCTGGTAACTACAGTGCTTTTCAAAAACAAAAACGCTGGTATCAGTTTATAAAGTATTAAGTTCTGCGTAATTTAAATCTTCTGGGAAAAAAGTCAGTTACGAACAACAGAGAAGTTTTCATCGTTCATTGACATTCTTTGCCTGCCCTACCGGTAGTTACTGTCCATGTGGCAACGTTGTCCCTTCCCACAGCTGCGCAACACGGCACCGCTGCAGCGTTATCGTTTATTGTGTCTAGGTTTTGTGCGCTGCAGTAAGGATAGATTAGTCAGCTGGACCGGTACGCCTGGCGGTGAGCTTAAATAACAGGAGTACGTGGATTGAAAACATTTCTCTATCAAGTTTTTAAGGCAAATCTACGGGAAAGTATATGATTTGAGAAATATGGCTGATAGGTGCATAGAATTATCGGTGTTGGGAGCCTATAAATACGACGGATGTCTTTTAAGTTTTACATATGGAAATAAAACAACACGGTAGGTAGTTTTAAATGACTCTATTGTTTTTCGAAGTATTCTCCACGAAGATTAATACACATCTACAAGCGCTCGAACCAATTTTCGAAGCACTTATTCCACTCGTTTGCTGGGAGATCCAAAACAGCATTTTTGAATGCGTCAACTGCTTCTTCTGGTGACTGGAACCTTTGACCACGCAGTCTGTTTTTAATTTCCGTAAACTTTTGTTGGCTTTTCTTCGCCTTGGAACCCAAACAGCCGACTGTCGTTTATTTTCTGGTTCATAACGGTAAATCCACGATTCATCACCACTAACAATGCTGTACACATTTTTTGAGTTTTACCTGGACCGATTTTCAAAAACTTTTTTGTCCTTGGTGTCCTTTAGTGACCTTGTGAGAAAGCGTACCTGCCGCCAAAACCTTTCGAAAAATGAGGAGTGGCATATTTTCTCAGGGAGACAAGTCCTAAAAAGCTTCAAAATTGTCTAGATCTGTTTCTTTTTTTTATACATGTTCGAAGCAAACTTTTGGTCCGAGGGTCTAACTTGTGCTTTACAGACTGATGACGACATTGCCGCCGTTTAAAGTGCGGCGCCATCCTAATTTACACCTTTTCAAGACAGGTACATAACCAAACCAGGTCTCTGAAGACATACCATAGTTCAAAGTTTTATCAAGGGGACATGAAACAGCGAAAGCAAGCGTCAATCTACACAACTCCAATATTGCTGCAATACTTACAACAATCTAAGTTAGAAAGGAAGCTAGCTATCAGAACAAGAATGCAGCAGGTCTGTCCCACCACTAGCAATGTTTTTTCTAACATAGACTAGCCGATTTAGTTGTAAAAACAACTGGTTCTTGTCTACGTAAACGCCAAACTGTATCAGAGCATCAAGGTCCTTCGAATCCGGAAGAGAGGCAACGAGTAGCGCCAATGCGTCGACTGGAGTCGACGACACATACCCGCGTAAAATCTAATGACGTAATAATTCAATCAAAGGCGCCTTCTTGTACTATTAAACAGTACTCATATCGTATAAAAAAGATAACGCAACGTTCGTACCTTGACAGTGGTGCTTTTCGCGTCGAGATAAATTCGCGCCGGTTGGACCAAGGCTTTGTTGTTTTTCACGTGCAAATTAACATTATAACAATTGACGGTGAATGGTTACGAGTGATTACTGTAATTAGCTCGCGAATACCGCACTTATGTGCGTTGATTGTTCCAGAGATTTTCCGTATTGTACTGATATAAACATGTTTCAAGGTATGAGGGTGTGAATGTTGAAATCATAAAATGTCAAAGTTGAATATCATTAAGATTAGGTGTCACTTGACTTGTTAACTTCAACAGGAAAAAAACAGTTTTTTTGTCTTAAGTAATGGACAGAAACGCAAAACCTAGAAACCATGATCAAAGGGCTACACTTGCACTTAAGCTCACTGTGTGAGAAGCTAAAAAAGATAAATTCGATAGACAAATAAAAAATAATAATGAGAAAAAAAGAGAAGATGGTAGTCAAAGTGTTTACAATACTCACATACGAAAGTATACTTTATCTGAAGTCACTTGAAATAGCATAAAAACCTTTGGTCGGCGCGTCCTTTGTAATTTCATGACGTATCATAGGCGTGCGGTCATTTATTTAGAACGATAATAATAATGTTTTTATATCACAATAAATGGATTTTACTATCTTCTTATTTTTTTGATTTGGGATAAAAAATACTTATATTAATTTATGTTGACTGAAAGTTAAGAAATGGAAAAATTACAGAATTCCAACGTTTGACATAGGCAAATATTTACATAGCAGGTAGGTATATAAAAAGGTATATAAAGACTTACATTATAGGTATTTATATATCATCCTCGCCTTCGGAGCTGTCGCTAGAGTCATCTTGTAGAGGAATTACAACGGGATTTACAGGAGGCAAAACACAATATTCATTTTCTGCTTCAATAATATGCCTAGAACACTGCTTCCATAGGTCTGTGGCAGCAATATGAGATACTGCATCTCTTATTGTGGCCAATAGCAATTCACTTAATTGAGGGGTCTGATTATGTTTTCTTACTTTTTTTTTTAAAGCAGCCCAGACGAACTCAATCGGGTTAAAAATGCAGTAATAGGGAGGTAGACGTAATACTTCATGGCCATTTTGCTGAAGCAGATTGTCAACAACATACTCTTTTTCAAATTTTTGTCTTTTAATAAGATCCAATAATATGACCTTGGTTGATTTTTGTGGTATTTCCATTCCATTATCCTTCATAAAATCAATTTCTTGTTTTTTTGTGCCTGTATTCGGAATTTTGTTTTTCTGTCGGGAATGGTATGGCGCATTGTCCATAATAATCACTGAATTTGGGGAAATGTTTGGTATTAACTGCTGCTCTATCCACTTTTCAAATAAGTCGGAGGTCATGTCCTCATGATAGTCGGCACATGATTCTTTGATATTTTTGGCAGATAACAGCAAGGCATTAGGTATAAATCCATTTTCACTGCCAGCATGGAGAATAATGATTCGTTTTCCACGGTTGCATGGTGCATTTAAAATGCACTTGTTGCTGTCGTCAACCCAGCCGTACTGCACAACATCATGGGTATCATACCACGTTTCATCCAGGTAAATCAGATTTCTTTTCTGCTCTCTATAGATTTTAACTTTGTGCAAAAATGCTTGGCGCAATTCAACGATTCGAGACGACTCCATCATCACCCTTCTTTTATCTAATTTTTTGTATTGAAAACCACACAGTTTTACAATACAGTGCAGTGAGTCTAAGCATTTGTAATTATAAAAATCTTCAGGATAATCTTTTAATTTATCCCGTATCATTTCCAACGTGGGCACCAAATTTTCTTTATAAAATCCGTATATTATACGACGAATATCTTCCTGAAAACCCACGTCTATTCTTTTTAATTTTTGCCCTATGCGCTTTCTGTGGAAGGAATGGTTGACTACATCTCCCCTTTTTATAACCCGATAAATAGTAGACCGACTGATTTTTGTCAGGATACAAATTCTGTTTAAAATTTGATTTTGCGAGGAATCTGGATTTTCGTTTTTCAGACAATCATACATATTTAGGATTACTCTTTGGGTCTGTTCCTCTAAATCTTTATGAAAGAATTCTGCCTGCACAGGTTCATCAACCATCTCCTCGTGGCTTGGAGCATTTTCCCAAGGTCTCCAAAGAGCCATATTTAGGACACACAAGAACAATCAACACAACAATTAAATCAACAAGTAAACTGAGTATTCAAAAGTCAAAAACACACAAACTAATAAAATCTATGAAAAAACACGGACAGACTAAAGAAAACACGTTTATTCACCGCTACACGGCACTGGCTAAACTGTTTCAATTTTCAGTAGCCACCTGCACTTGTTCGGAGCTCTGGAATACACGCTTTCTCATTGGCTATGTCCACGCATAGGCGTGCTTTACTCCACGTGGACCGGTGAAACTGCCTTTGATCTTATACGGGGGATATTTGCTGCGAAATTTGGCGATTTTTGCAGCAACAGAGCGTGTTAAATATAGATATATAAAACGCACCCGGTATTTCACAGTGTTTCAAGTGACTTCAGATAAAGTATACAAGCCTTCAAAGCAAAGTAATATGAAACAGGGGAAAAAGTGATTTAACAGATGACAGTTTAAAGAGTTCACATCACAGTACTTTTTTACTATGCCATCAGCTGTTTCTTAGCAAGTCTCCTGACAGGAACTATAGTCTAAATTGTCTCAGTATATTTATATAACTTGACAGCATGAAAGGTGAAGCTTTTTTGAAAAAAAGCTGAGTAGTGGACTGGCATCGCAAAATTTAGGTTATGTTTGAGATTTCTCTGATTGTCTGATGTCACGTCTTGATAGCAGCCTTTCTAAAATAAACTGTTTCCATCTTCAGTTAATTTATATTTTGAATCTTCTAAGAGACATGACTATATTTACGAAGTCCAAATACAAACCTGCAGCAATTGTTTTGATATTATCTGCAACCTATACTGATTCGACGAATCCAAATAAGATTAAAACAAAATTAAGGAATATTGCAACTATGACAGAATTAAGCTTTCAACTAATTTCAACAGCCTTTATCGAAAGCTGGAAGTAATGTATAAAACATGATATAATATAAATGTCCGCCTCTAGAAGCCGTAGAAACCTGAACCCTTTTGATTGCGTTTTCATCACTTTCTCGGGAGGGATGTGTTGAAAAGATTTCGGTATGTTGCTCTTTAGCTGATCTATAGTTGAGTGCCGTAAATTTTATTTTTCAGAAATTCCTGCAGATACAGTCTGTTCAATCCGATAATTTTAGGGGCTAGATGACATTGCTCAATGGCTAATGCCTCGAAATATGCTTGTTTGAGTTTGATGTTTGAGCGATTTTTTTTTGCTTTAGATATTTTTGCTGCCGTCATTTAAAAACTACAAAGCTTTTCCCTCCTTGACATAGTAGTAACCTCGTGTGAAAATTTTATCAAGGTCCGAGTCATACTTACTTTTAACTGCCATATTGGGAAGACTATAAATAAGTGTCTGGGCTTCACAAGAACTACCGGTAAGAACTTAAAAAATCCAAGAGCTGTATCATTAAACTTTCTATCGTGTCTGCTATATGGAATCCTTTCTACTCCACTCATTCGTATCGAATTGAAAGAATCCAAAATAAGTTTTTAAATACACATTTGCCTTCATAGGTGACACACCTATCACTTTTAGTAATTATGGTCCAATCATGAACAGATTTAATATGTTATTACTGTTTAATTGATGAATAATTTCTAATATTTGGTATACTCGTATACAAACCAGTTAATAACCTTGACGATTTAATAATCTGCTTTTCCCAGTTCGGTTTAATGTTTCAGATAGCAATTATCGTCATTATCACTTGTTGAAGTTACCATATTTTTACTAACTTAGGTATAAATCCTCCATCAGAACACAGATCCTACAATCTGTTTTGTGAAGAGCAACATCACTATCTTTAGGCGTAAAATAAAATCGAAGTTTTTAAATCAACAATCACATCATATTGGTCGTTTTTCCTAGTGAATATACCTTGACATTTCATAATTTTATACACATTACTCATATTTTCTTGTAACACAGTGGGTGTGTGTTAGTTGTGGTTGTGAACACCCCAAATTGTAATAAATGCATAAATCAGTTACACACCGACGGAAATGATTGACATGGTTGTTCGTTTTCCAAAAAAACATAATGCTTCATTAAATTTTTCGAGGGAAGTAAAAATAACGTCAGATGGCACATTCAGACTTCAGGCAAATCTATTTCCTATCGTTTTGAAGACATTGGAAAAACAAATCAGTCAAAATATATAAAAAAAAACACACGAAAAGGGAATGTGGAATTTCCAAAATCCTGCCTGAATAAGTGCAACTTTCTGCATACCTCTGTGCATTTCTACTTGTATCATTTTTTAGATAAGGCGATAAAAGAGAAATCCGCTAACATTTCTTTTACAGCTTCATAGAAATATATGTAGTTGAGTCATATTTTGCCAAATGAGAAAATCATGTTTATTACGGTTTTGTCACTTTCACTTAGTGTTGTAGTAGAGAACAACAAATTATATGTTTACGACGGTGGATAATATTTATATTCAATATTATTTTTGCATATTGTGTTATTGTGATAATCTAAAACATGGAACTGTCTTCTGTTTTACTGCAACCACATAAAGAATATTCTGATAAAGTTATAAGGATTAACTTAACCTTCAAGTCAGGAAACATCATATTTTTATTTTTTGTGTCAAAAGTTTACATAATTTTTTCGAGAAATGGAGTATATGTGCTATAATGAATTGTCAGATCTTTGTTTCATAAAAGTCATCAACAAGATGAATTAAATGATAATAATAATAATAATAATAATAATAATAATAATAATAATAATAATAATAATAATGTTTATAGTCACAAAATACAGGTAAATATCAAATATTGTGCACAATAAACACAAACCACCCATAGTTTGCACTTGTGTTTGAGTATGTTAGAAATAAAAACTAATAGTACAGTCAGTGCATGAAAAAATAACCGTTAATACTGTATAATTTGGTGAATTATCATGGGAAAAATATCCAGACAATTATAAATAAAGTAAAAGTATGGATGTTAGTGTAAGTAAAATATTATTGATTCTGATAACGATTTTTCAGATCTACAATTTCGTGGATGGAGTACCTTGGTTGTTGTAAAATCCATTTTTTAGTTCTTCTTTAAATTATTTATTTGATTTAATTACTTTTAATGACTTTGGTATAAAGTTATAGAATTTTGGTCCCAAGAAAAACAGAGATCGTTATGTAATGGTTTTTGATGTTTGTGGAATACACATTGAATTTTGATTGAATGTTGTTGGGTAGTTATGAATGATACGATTCAAGTATTTCTAATATTTTAAATAATGTATTAGTCCACAATAAAAATAAATTTGTCTGCAATCTAATAGCTGAGCTTCCACATATAGAAAATCACTTGAATACGTAATCTCCCTATGCAGGATCAATTTTAGAATTAATTTTTGGATTACATCAACCTTTTTGTAATTATTATTCATAATTCCCCCCAAGCCAAAGTTCCGTAAAGTAGTAGAGGATAAACAAGAGCATAATAAACATTATATAGATATTTCTTATCTAGAATAATCGTTTGTTAATATTCATTTTTCTTTCCAGATGCCGCAAACAGTGCCCTCAGCAGGCTTTACGCCACCGTGTGATTACAGCAACTTCGCGGAAAATTTCGACCTCTCCCTCTTGCCAGGCGGTGACCAACCAGTCTCACCCTCGACACAATTCTACGCTCAATCTCCTCCACTCTCAGAAAAGCAAATTGCTCAGATCAAAATATTCACCTCCTACCATTCGGAATCATCTGCCGAGGACAATAAAACCGAGATAGAGCTGGGTCCTGACTTTAGCAGTCTACTTGCCGAAGAGAACAATAGCAAGAAATATTCGAATATATACTTGGAGGTGCCGAACTCCAGGAGTTATCCCGGATCGCCCAGCCAGCAAAGCACAGGGCTGCTGTCTCCGAACGATCAGTTTACAAGTTACAGGACTGGGGAGAATAACTTTTACCCCAGTAGTCCTGAACAGTCTTTGTATACAGCTTCACCAGGTTCTGTATACTCCACGTCACCTTGTAGAGAAGACTACCTGCAAATAAAAACGGAATATTCGAATTCAACATCACCACTGCCTGACTTTTCCCCATTCAAAATCAAAGAAGAGGCTAATATTTACCCAACAAGTCCTAGTTCTTATTGCTCAGCTTCGCCTGAGCATCAGGAAAACGTCCTGGACTTATTGGACACCAACACCTTAGAAGCACAGATCAAGCAAGAAAGAACGGTGGATTTCACAGATATTCTTCAAGGTTTCCAGGATACTGACACTCTAAGACAGCTTTTGGAGGAGGATATAAAGGAAGCGAAGTCAGAAAAACCCAAAGACCATCAATTGCTTAGAGAGGTACTCAAAGATACCAGTTTCCAAAAGAAGTTTAATATAAAGCCCTTCGATTTTGGGTTTCTGGAGGGTGAAATAAAAATGGAGGAACAAGAGGGGGAACAGAGTGATTTGTACAGCGCCAGCGATAATATCGAACCGGTGCTGAATCTGGCTATCGAGCAAATGAGGAAAGATGTTGACAATACCTGCGCGACCTTAGGAATATCCACAGGTAAGTCATTCATTGAATACTTCGAGGAAACACTAACACAATTCATAGATACGAAGACAATTTGTGGCGGTGACTTCAATGTTGTTGTTCTTGACTCTTCAAATCGTTATTGCAGTATGCTTTATGATTATATTGAAGGTACAGTTAATCAAAGAACCTACTACAAAAAACAGCCTAACCTTGCTCGGCATAATTTTTATACCTGCTGATGTGACTGATTTCACTGTTGCTACAAGAAATACGTCACATATGTCCGATCATTCGTTACCTTTTGTATACTGAATAAATCTGTTGCAAATTGTTCTAAAAAATGGCGCTTCAGAAACTTAGAAAATATAGATAAAGACCTGCTCAATGAGCTTTTGGAAATTTCTCCTTTCGAACAATTGATCTATTTGCCAAAAGTTGAGGAAAAGGTTTTATTTTTTAATGAAGTACTGTTCAATATCTTCGGTGTACTAGCTTTTCTAAAGGAAATTCAATTTAAAGTTCGAAAACCCCCATGACTAAACTAAAAGACGAAAAATTCCGGAAACCTAAGAAAAACAAAACTGCTGCCACTTGGTATAATTATAAACAAATGAAAAATTAAACGAATATTTCCATATATAATGAAAAGAAAAGTTATTTGAAATGCTCTATTGATAAAAATATCAATCAAACTAAAGTGCTTTGGAAAAAATGATTAAATTTAAATATTAGCAACAAAAAAACAGGTTGTACTTCCGATGAATAATCCGGTTGACATAAATAACCATTTCCTTCATCTCATCAATAGACTATGATACTTTGGATTACTATTATAGCAATAGGCGTACTAACGTCAACACTCTTTTTGAATGTCACACAGTTTCTCAGGATGTCGTTAAAAATGCACTTCTCAGAATTAAGTCGCTTGCCATAGGTGCTGATGGTCTAAATCTTGAAATGATCTTATTGTTTTCCCATAAAATCATCCCCTACATTACAAATATAATAAAAACCTGTGTTTTAGATAGAGAATATCCAGACTCATGGAAAATTGCCAAAATTATACCAATATCAAAGAAGTCTGAAATTAACGACTGAATGGCCTTCGCCCCATAAGTATTTTACCATTGCTGTCAAAACTAATGGAGATTGTATTGTACTAACAAATAAGAGATTATTTAACTGAAAACAATTTGTTACCAGACCATCAATCGGGATTTACCAAAGGATTCAGCTACGAAACGGCACTGTTAAATATAACTGACATCTTCAATGCAACAGGTTCCGGAAAAACCACCGCTCTGGTGCTCTTTTACTACTAAATCAATAAATGCTGTTTTGTATTTTACACTATATAGGGTTTTCAGGATCTGCTAGTACGCTTATATGCCACTATTTAACTAACAGAACACAATATGTAGAAACAGATAAAGGTATGTCCTCCAAAGATGTCATCCCATAGGGTATTCCACAAGGCTCCATTTTAGGACCTCTGATTTTTAGTACTTATACCTCAAACCTTTCCCAATATCTCCGAAGTTGTCGGGTACATTTGTATGCTGACGATACTCGCTTTGTTTTTCTTTCAATTCTAATGAGAAACGTGATGCATTGGCCATTATTAATCGAGATATTGAAAGATTAGTTGTATTTTCGGGAAATCGTGGTTCACAGATTAATCCAAGCAACTCACAACTCATGTTATTTGGCAGATTGAAAGACAATATTGAGCCCACTTTTCATGTAAAAAAAAGTGAATCTATACCTTGTCTGCCACTGTGAGAAATTTCGGAGTAGAGTTTGACTTATCTTAAAGATTTAAGCCTCATATTAATAAGTATATCTAGAAAGCTTATGCTTCTCTAAAAGTTCTATATGCTCATCGATATGTCCTCCCTGTTAAACTTAAAATATTGCTTTGTGAAGTACTAGTACTCAGCCGTTTTAATTTTTGCAACAGCGTTTATGGGTTTTGTCTAGACAAGATTGACGGATAGAATTGAACGTGTACAGAAGTCCTGCCTACGATTTATTTATAGTATACGTAAGTTTGAAAGAGTTTCACATGAGTTGCCTGATGCAAACTGGTCGAATATGCGATGTCGATGTGAGTTTCATGCATGTAATCTTTTTCACATAATTATGTTTTTTAAGCAACCACCATATTTATTCAATAGAATAACTGTTCACTGATACTCATAACATGAATTCGCGATTTCGGGGCTACATGTCACCTCCTCCTCATCAAACTTATTTTTTTTTTGTAGATCTTTCTCATAGAACATTTACCGGCTTTGCAATCAAATTCCTAATGACTTTAAAATTCTGCATCCAAACCAGTTTAAAATCAAATGTAAAAAAATTATTTTTGATAAACACAATAATGTAAATGCGGCACAAACTAATTAAAAAAAAAATTTTGTAATACAACTCTATTATTCTAAATCTATTATTCGAGGTTTTCTAAGGTAGATCGTTCTTTTTATGTATGTATATATATATATACAGGGTGTTTCAGTTTATTGTTGCATAACTTTAAGATTCGATAGAACTTTTAAAATTAATGCATAAAGTCTATATAAACATGGGTCGAAAAATGCGTGGCTTCCGAAATACAGGGTGTTTAAGTTTACTTTCTAAAATAGTTTTTTTCAAATATTAAATTGGTATACAAGGGTTTTTTGGTACGACAAAACGAACCATGGGCATAGTTTTACTGTAGCCGCTAGAGGGCGCTCTCTACTGTACCTGTAGTGTATTAAAATGACCGAACATTTTTTCTTAGTGCAATTTTTTGCTTTTTGAATAAAAAAACTGATTCTTCGCACTTTTCAACATAAAAAAAGCTTTCCTGTGAGTTTTCGTTATAGTTAGCCGTTTTTGAGATATTTCGATTTTTAAGGTTCGATGCATTTTTAATTATTTATGGGAAAATAATATAATTTTTACATTTTCGATTTGGGCATTACAAGTAATTAAGATGATCGTTTAGATTGTGTTTTTGAACACAGCAATAATTCCTAACTCCAAATAAACACAAAAAAACAGAATATTAATTTGTTTAATTTTCCAATATTATTTTTAACAAATTAAATTAATTATTTACAACTAAAATGCTATTGGATAGTTAGGACAAACATACAAAATCTAAAGTAGTTGCTTAAAATGTAAACCCAATTGTTCAATACACAATTCACATCTACGAATGATCGAACGTGGTATAGCATTATTCAAATAAGGCCTTATTTCATCACATGCATTCCTGATTCTGTATATTAGCATATCTCTTGTGGTTACGGGAGTCTGGTACACTTTTTCTTTTAGAAATCCCCACACAAAGAAATCTAATGGATTAAGTCAGGGGATCGTGGAGGCCAGGCGACTGGTCCTCCACGGCCGATCCATCTTTCTGGATAATTTTCGTCCAGCCAGTTTCTAACTATTCTCGAATAATGAGCTGGACAACCATCAAGCTGGAACCAGGCCAATCTTCTTAAATCTAACATAACATCATCCCACATATTTGCATGTTCAGCCTTTAAAAATTCCAAGAAGGTCGCAGCATTTAACCTTGCAGGCAAAAGGTAGGGTCCAAATAGTCGATTACGGTAGATACCAATCCACACGTTCACACTAAATTCATGCTGAAAATTTCTTTCCCGAACTGCATACTTTCAATTTCAAAAATATTTGGAGGCACAGCTTACTTCTAAAAATTATCGAGATACTGACTTTTTAACGTTATTTTATCATAAATAATTAAAAATGCATCGAACCTTAAAAATCCAAATATCTCAAAAACGGCTAACTATAGCGAAAATTCACAAGAGAGCTTTTTTATGTTGAAAAGTACGAAGAATCAGTTTTTTTATTCAAAAAGCAAAAAATTGCACTAAGAAAATTTTTTCGTCATTTTAATACACTACAGGTACAGTAGAGAGCGCCCTCTAGCGGCTACAGTAAAACTATGCCCATGGTTCGTTTTGTCGTACCAAAAAACCCTTGTATACCAATTTTCACTGTTACACATCAAATATTGTTCGAAATATATTTTCTAAAGTAAACTTAAACACCCTCTATTTCGGAAGCCACGTATTTTTCGACCCATGTTTATATAGACTTCATGCATTAATTTTAAAAGTTCTATCGAATCTTAAAGTTATGCAACAATAAACTGAAACAGCCTGTATATGTATATTATGGGTATGTATGTATGTATACATATGTATATGAATGTGTAATAAGTAAAGACCTGAACATGTATCATTTTTAAATGCCTTCAGCCCTTTTTTGTAACATACCTCATTTAAATTTATTTTGCTAGTATTTTCACCTAACTATATGTTGCAAATAAACATTATTATTATTATTTGATATATACAGAGAGCTCGTGTCAGGTTTATGTAATGCGTACTCTTACCAATACCAAAAGTACCTAACACAAATCAAATATCAGATTTGAGATCAATTAAAATTTTATCGACATTTCTAACTATCAGGAAACAACGTTATGATTATGTTGTAAATAAATATATTATACCAAAAATACAATCTGGATTTCGTTCCTCTCACGACACAACAGCTCTTGCATGCATCACTAATGGTTTGATTCATTCGGTTGATAATGGAAAAATCATATGCTTGGTACTTCTTGATTCTAGCAAGGTTTTTGAATCAATCGATCATAACATACAGTGTTCTGATCTCAATAATATTCGGAATTCGGATGTAGTCTTACGGCTCTTCAATTGATTAAAGGTTAAATGGCCGACACCATGTATGTCAATTAATCAGAAAAACTCTTCAAGGTTCTATTCTAAGTGCGCTGTTATTTTCTCTATATATATGAGACTTTTCGACATATGTGAGATACTGCAAAATTCACCATTATGCAATTGGCATGCAAATGTACTACAGCTTCCTTATCAATGATGCGCTTCCTTCTTTTGATTTCATTAACTGTGACCTGAACACACTATTTAATATCTAAATCCAAAGTTATGATATTCGGACCAAGGCCAAAACAGTTA